TTTTCAATTTTTAAAATTTTTGGGTACCTATTCGATTTCTCGATTTTTCAGTTCCTCGATTTTTCAATTTTTCACATTTCTAAGCTTTCGATTTTTGGATTTTTCTATTAATCGATTTAAATTTTCGATTTTTCAATGGTTCGATTTTTCAGGTTTTTGATTTGTTAGTTTTTTAAATTTTCGATTTTTCGATTTTTCAATTTTTTGATGTACCGATTTATCATTTTTTCATTTTTATTTTTTCCGATTCTTCAATATTTTGATTTCTGAATCTTCAGATTTTCAATTCATTAATTTTTCAATTTTCCACGTTGTTAATTTTTCAATTTTCTTATTTTTCGGTTTTTCGATTTGTCGATTATTTAGTTGGATTTTTCAATTTATCGATTTCTCGATTTCGACTTTTAGACTTTCCCATTCCTCGATTTTTCGAATTCTCGATTTCTCTATTTTTCAGTTTTGCAGTTCTTCAATTTTTCGATTTTTCAGGTTTTTTATTTTTTATTTTTAAAATTTTTGGTTTTTCGATTTTCGACTTGATGATTTTTTACTTTTGGCATTTTTTAATATTCTGATTCTTCAATTATATCTCTGGATGTTTCATTTCTCCGATTTTTCAATTTTTCAATTTTTGACATTTCTGATTTTTTGCATTTCCAATTTCTCGACTCCTTAATTTTAAAATTTTCAGGTTGTTAATTTGCCAATGTTTTTAAATTGTCAGTTTTTGAATTTTTCTATTTTTCGATTTTTAATTTGTCAATTTTATAGGTTTCCGATTTTTGGATTTCTTTATTTATCTAAACTTTTCATCTTTAAGTCTTTTCGATGTTTCTCCATTGTTCGACTTCCGATTTCTCAATTTTTCAGTTATTTCAGTTTTTTCAATTTTTTTAACTTTCGATTTTTCGACTTCACGATTTTTCAGTTTTGTGATTTTGCAATATTTCGATTCTTCAATTTTTCAAATTTTTGTTTCGATTTTTCGATTTGTTTACTGTTTCAATTTTTCGATTATTCGATTTTAAATTTTAGTTTTTTCGATTTTACAATTTTTCAATTTAACAATTTTTTGATGTACTGATTTATCCTTTTTTTATTTTTTCGATTTTTCGTTTTTCTGATTCTTCAAGGTTTTGGTATTTTGATTTACGGATCTTTGGATTTAAATTTTTTCGAAATATGGATTTCTATTTTTCAATTTTTGGCGTTTCTAAATTTTCAATTTTTCGATTCTCGATTTTTTAACTTTTCGATTTCTCGATTTCTTGCTTTTTTAGATTTTTCAATTTCTTAGATTTTTCGATTATTTGATTGCCAAAAAAAAATGTGAATTTTTCGACTTACCGATTTCTCGATTTTTCAGTTTTTCAATTCATTAATTTTTCAATTTTTCGAGTTGTTAACTTTTTAATTTTTAAAATTTTTGATTTTTCGATTTCTCGATTTTCATTTCTCCGATTTTTCAATTTTTCAATTTTCTAAGCTGTCGATGTTTGGAGTTCTCTATTAATCCTTTTAACTTTTCGATTTCACGATTTTTCCAGTTTTAGATTTTTAGACTTTTTGATTTTCCCATTCCTCGATTTTTCGGATTCTCGAATTCCCTATGATTTCATTTTTTAAATTTTAGATTTTTCGAATTCTCTATTTTTCAATTTTTTGCATTTCAAAACTTCAATTTTTCGATTTCTTGATCAATCGATTGTCGACATTTCAACTTTCCGATTTTCTGATTTTTTGCTTTTTTATATTTTTCGATTATTTGATTTTTCCCATTTCTGAATATTTCGACTTCTCGATTTCTCAAATTTTCAGTTTGTCTAGTCATCAATTTTTCAATTTTTCAGGTTGTTAATTTTTCAAATTTTAAAATTTTCGGTTTATGATTTCTCGATTTTTCAGTTCTTCGATTTTTCCATTTTTCAATTTTCTAAGCTTTCGATGTTTGGATTTCTCTATTAATCGATTTAACTTTTCGATATCCCAATTTTTCCACTTTTAGATGTTTAGACTTTTTGATTTTCCTATTCCTCGATTTTTTGGATTCTTGATTTCCCTATGATTTTTTAGTTTTTTAAATTTTAGATTTTTCGATTTTTCAATTTCTCATTATTTCAATTTTTTGATGTAGCGATTTATCGTGTTTTCATTTTTTCCATTTGTCTTTTTTCTGTTTCTTCAATGTCTTGATATTTTGATTTTTAGATCTTTCAATTCTAGATTTTTCGATTTCTCTATTTATCAATTCTTCGATTTCTCTCTTTATCAGTTTTTGGTATTTCTAAATTTCAATTTTTCGGTCTCTTGATTAATCGATTCTCGACATTTTATCTTTTCGATTTTTTGATTTTTTGCATTCTTAGATTTTTCGATTTTTTAATTTTTCCAATTTCTCTATTTTTCAACTTTTCGATTTCGCGAATTTTTGCTTTTTCAGATTTTTCGATTTTTCAGATTTTTCGATTATTTGATTTATCTCATTTCTGAATTTTCGACTTCTTGATTTCTCGATTTTTCAGTTTTTCAATTCATTAATTTTTCAATTTTTCGGCCTAACTTTCCAATTTTAAAATTTTCGGTTTTTCGATTTTTCGATTATTTAATTCCTCGATTTTCAGTTTTTTCAAATTTTTTGTTTTTCGATTTTTCGGCTTGATGATTTTTCAATTTTGGGATTTTTCAATATTTCGATTCTTCAATTTTTCGTTTTGATTTTTGATTTTTTTACTGTTTCAATTTTTCAGTTCTTCGATTTTTTAAATTTTAGATTTTTCGATTTGTAAATTTTTCAGTTTTTCAATTTTTCAATTTTTTGATGTACTAATTTATCGTTTCTTCATTTTTTCGATTTTTCTTTTTTCCGATTCTTCAATGGTTTGATATTTTGATTTCTGGATTTTTCGAATTCTCGATTTTTCAATTCTACGATTTTTCTATTTTTGTTTTTATCGTTTCTAAATTTTCAACATTTCGATTTCTTGATTAGTCGATTCTCGATTTTTCATTTCCGATTTCTGGATTTTTCACTTAATTTTTGGATTTTTCGGTTATTTGATTTTTCCCAATTCTGAATTTTTCGACTTCTCGATTTTTCAGATTTTCAGTTCATTAATTTTTCAATTTTTCGAGTTAAGTTTTTAGTTTTTAAAATTTTCTATTTTTCGATTTCTCGACTTCGATTTTTCTATTTTTCAATTTTTGGCGATTCAAAGTTTTCAATTTTTCGATTTTTTTGCTTTTTTAGATTTTTCGATTATTTGATTTTTCCCATTTCCGAATTTTTCCACTCCCCGATTTCTCGATTTTTCAGTTTTTCAACTCATTAATTTTTCAATTTTTCGGGTAGATAACTTTTCAATTTTTAAAATTTTCGGTTTTTCGATTTCTCGTTTATTTAATTCTTCGATTTTTCAATTTATCAATTTTCTTTCTAAGCTTTCGATTTTTGGGTTTCTCTATTAATCGATTTAACTTTGTGATTTTACGATTTTTCCACTTTTAGATTTTTAGACTCTTTGATTTTCCCATTCCTCGATTTTTCGGATTCTCGATTCTTTATGATTTAATTTTTTAAATTTTAGATTTTTCGATTTCTCTATTTTTCAATTTTTTGCATTTCTAAACTTCAGTTTTTCGATTTCTTGATTAATGGATTGTCGACATTTCAACTTTTCGATTTTCTGATTGTTTGCTGTTTTAGATTTTTTGTTTTCTTAGATTTCTCGACTTTTGCTTTCTTAGATTTTTCGATTTTTTGATTTTTTCGATTTTTGGTCTTCCCGATGTCTTCATTTTTCAGTTTTTCAATTCATTAACTTTCAATTTTTCAGATTGTTAATGTTCTAATTTTTAAAATTTTCGGTTTTTCAATTTCTCAATTATTCAATTCCTTGATTCTTTAATTTTTCAATTTTCTAAGCATTCGATTTTTGGATTTTCCTACTAATCGATTTTACTTTTCGATTTTTAACTTAACGAGATTTTTTAGTTTTGGAATTTTTCAAAATTTCGATTTTTTAATTGTTCAAATTTCCATTCAATTTTTTGATTTTTTGATGTACTGATTTATCGTTTTTTCAATTTTTCAGTTTTTGACTTCTCAAGCGTTAGCTAAGAAAGTATTGTAATCGAAAAATTGGATCTCCCGTTTCCGTCTGTCTGTCTGTCCGCCGCTTGTGCCAACTTTTTTTTAGACATATAATCTCCGAAACTACCAGACCGACTGTTGTCAAATTTCATATAATTATATATTATGAAAGTAGATGGTGAAGCGCTAACAAAACTGCCTAATCACCCCCACCAACAATGTGATGACGTCACCTCAAAATTTTATTGTATCTAGTAAATGGGCTTTAAATTGTTTAAAATACCACAGTCCTACACGTGTAGTTTATGAAGACGTTTGATTTTTTCCCGAAACTTCAGAAATTTTTGGAAAAAATCAAAATTATATAACAACAATTTACAATAAATTATTACTTGTAAAATAATCACTACATTCATATTTTTTGGAATCGCTTATACAGGGTGATTAAAAAAAATAATGAATGAGTCAGTTTAATTTCCTATTAAACCAGAAACTGCAAATTTTGGAGTGAATTTATTTATTTTATTAAAAAATTACGAACGTTATCACAAAATTTTGTAAAGGAAAAACTCATTTGGAACATATGCATAGCACGCTTCTTAAAAAAAAAATTGAATTCGCAAAATCAAATTTATAATTTTCTTGCCAAAATTTTAGGATTTCTGTTGTTTCTGTCGTTTTGTTTCATTCTTTTCGTGACCCCATCTTGTTCTAGAACATTCCATTCCTATATTTCTATATTTCTTCGTAGTTCCGTTTCGCCGTCTCTGTGACAATTTCCCTATTTTCCCCCAACCCCCGATTCGGTTACCACCCAACCCACCCCCCTCCCCCTCTCACGCGTCCCCCCTCCTGAGCTTCAATCTCGGCACTTCAGGATTCAGCGTTTCAGTCTCAGCCGCCGCAGGTCTTAAGTAACACGTGCGCGCCGCCTCTGCGTCCGTTTCAGCGCCGGTGTCGTGCGAGTGTGCTCTTCGGCGTTTTCAAAATTCCGAAATGCGTCTGAATGGAACGAAAACGAAAATGAATGAATGAAAATCGGGCGCGTAAAATTAGACCGTCGTCGCTGGCAGTGGACACTCCGTCGTGGTCTCGTTAGTCGCGGGTAAAATTAGATGCGAAATTTAATTAGATAATGAGGTATTTATGTTGAATGTGTCCATTATCAAACGCGAACGCTCAAATTCGCCCGAACAGTGTTTCAGTGTTTTGATGTTTGTACTCTTGTTTCAGATTTACAAGCTTTAAATAAATGCGGTCTTAAAGTAGAAGTAGGCAGGGTTTGACGTAGGGTGTCTGGAATCGGCCGGGTTGGGAGAGGAGACAATGGATCTTGGTAAGTGGATTATGGGTGGATGGGACGGTGGTGGGTGGATGGGTGATTTTGTGGGAATACAAGCGGCTGTGGTGGTTTTTACTTCCTAAGATGGTAATCTTACAACTTATACAGGTGACTCAAAAAAATTATGCATGAGGCAGTATATTATTATCTATATAAGGGTTATCATAAAGAAATAAAATTCACACAATCAAGTCTTACAATTTTTCGAAAAATTTTGATTTATTTTTCAATTTTTTCAATTTTCAATGTCATAATTTTTCAATTTCTCGATTTCAAAATTTTTCAGTTTTTCAGTTTTTCGAGTTCTTGATTTTTAATTTTCATTTTCTCGATTTTACGTTACGATTTTTCATACCCTCTATTTTTCAGCGTTTTTTTTTCGATTTTATAGTTTTTTAAATTTTAGTTTTTCGATCGTTCGACTTGACTTTTCAACTTTTCGATTTCTATATTTCCTGATTCTTCGATATTTCATTCTAATTTTTTAAATTTTAATTTTCAGATTTTTCAATTTTTCTCGACTTCAAAACTTTTCCATTTTTCAATTTTTCGACTTTTTAATTTTTTTTTTCTTTTTCTCAATTTTATGTCACAATTTTTCGTTTTCTCATACCCTCCATTTTTGCAACGTTTTTTCGATGTTATAATTTTTCGTTTATTCAAATTTTCAGTTCCTCGTTTTCTAATTTCTAAATTTTTCAATTTTGTGATTTTGGATTTCCAATTATCCGATTTTCCGATTTCTTTTATTTTCAATATTTCGATTTTTCGATTTGGACTTTTTCTGTTTTTAATTTTCTCAGTATTTAATCTTTTGATTCTTCATGTTTTCAAGTTCTTCATTTCTAATTTTTAGATTTTTGAAAGTTTTCATTTTATACTTTTTCGTTTTTTCATCTTGGATTTTTTAATTTTACAATTTTCTATTTTTCAATTTTTTTGATACGAAAAGTTGAAAAATCGAAAAATTGAGAAAACAAAAAATCGAAGAACTGAAGAACAAAAAATTGAGAAAGTTAAAAATCGAAAAATTGAGAAATGGAAAAATTCTAAAATTACAAAATTGAAGAAGTGAACATTTTTTTTTAATTATAGTTATTATTATAGAATTTTGGATCATAGAATTCAAGAATTTGACACCTTAGGTTTAAGATGTATTTTCTTCTTTATTCTTATTATTTTAAAACTTTAAAATTGTGGATGATCTTGGAACTCACAATCCTGCAATTCAGAATTCTGGAACTCAGAATCTTGAGATCTAGAATCTCGGATTCCTGAATCTTGGAATCGAGAATTTCGAATTTAAAACTTGGAGCTTAAAATGTAGTACATATTAAGAATTTTGGATCATAGAATTCAAGAATTCTTGGAATCCTCGAATCTAGAAACTTCGAACTTAGATTTCTGGAATTCAGAATTCTGGCATCCAAAATCTTGTAATCTAGAAACTTAGAATCTAGAATCCTGAAATCTAGAATCTTGGAGTTGAGGGTCTGAGTATTTACAATCTTAGAATTGAAAACTAAAACTTAGAGCTTAAAATATAATTAAATGAATATTAAAAATATTATTGGATCAAAGTTTTCAAGAATTTGCGATTTTGGATTTAAGACGCGTTTTCAAAAAAATCATTTTTTAAACACTTAAAATTTTGGATCTAATAATTCAGAACGCCACAAATGAAGTCGAACAATTTAGAATTTTGGAAATCAGAATTTTGGAACTCAGAATCTTGAGATCTAGAATCTCGGAACCCTGAATCTTTTAATCTAGAATATCGGATTCTGAAATCTCGGCATCTGGAATCTTGAAATTCAAAATCTTAGTGCGTACAGTTTTAGAATTTAAAAGTTGGCGTTTAAAATGTAGTACATATTATGAATTTTGGATCATAGAATTCAACAATTGGAAACCCGAAACTCAGAACCTAGAATCTCGGAATCTAAAGCCTTTGAACCTAGAATCTTCGAATCCAGAACCTTCGAAGTTAGATTTCCTTGGAACTTAGAGCTTAAAATGTATTACATATTATGAATTTTGGATGATAGAAATCAAGAATTTGTAACCCGGAACTCAGAATCTAGAATCTTCGAATCTAGAACCTGAAGTCAGTTTTCTGGAATTCAGAATCCTAGCATCCAAAATCTTGGAATCTAAATTCTCGGATTCTAGAATCTTGTAAACTAAAAACTTAGAATCCAGAATACTGAAAGCTAGAATCTTGGAGTTAAGGATCTGAGTATTTACAATCTTGGAATTTCAAACTAAAACTTGGAGCTTAAAATTAATGCATATTAAAAATATTTTTGGATCAAAAGTTTTCAGGAATTTGGGACTTTGGATTTAAGACGCATTTTTCAAAAAGTTCAATTTTTTAAACACTTAAAATTCTAGATCTAATAATTCAGGACGGGACAAATGAAGTCAATAATTTAGATTCTTGGAATTCAGAATCTTGGAAATCAGAATATTGAGAACTAGAATCTAGAATTTCGGAACCTTGAATCTTGGAATCTAGAATATCGGATTCTGAAATCTCGGCATCTAGAATCTTGGAATTGAAAATCTTTGCATTTACTACAATCTTAGAATTTAAAACTTGGACCTTAAAATGTAGTATATATTAAAAATTTTTGATCATAGAATTCAAGAATTGAAAACCCGAAACTCAGAGCCTAGAATCTCGGAATCTAGAACCTTTGAATCTAGAATCTTCGAATCCAGAACCTTCGAAGTTAGATTTCTGTAATTCAGAATCCTTGGAACTTGGAGCTTAAAATGTATTACACATGATGAATTTTGGATGATAGAATTCAAGAATTCGAAACGCGGAACTCAGAATCTAGAATCTCGAATTCTAGAATCTTTGAATCTAGAACCTGAAGTCAGTTTTCTGAAATTCAGAATCCTAGCATCCAAAATCTTGGAATCTAAATTCTCGGGTTCTAGAATCTTGTAATTTACAAACTTAGAATCCAGAATACTGAAATCTAGAATCTTGGAGTTCAGAATCTGAGTATTTACAATCTTGGAATTTCAAACTAAAACTTGGAGCTTAAAATTTAATGCATTTAAAAAATATTATTGGATCAAAATTTTTCAGGAATTTGCGACTTTCTATTTAAGACGCATTTTTCAAAAAGTTCAATTTTTTAAAAACTTAAAATTCTGGATCTATCAATTCAGAACGGGACAAATGAAGTCCAACAATTTAGAATCTTGGAATTCAGAATCTTGAATCTAGAATCTCAAAACCCTGAATCTTTTAATCTAGAATATCGGATTCTGAAATCTCGGCGTCTAGAATCTTCTAATTCAAAATCTTAGACTTTACAATCTTGGAATTTAAAACTTAAAGCTTAAAATGTAGTACATATTATGAATTTTAGATCATAGAATTCAAGAATTCGAAACCCTAATGCATATTAAAAATATTATTGGATCAAAGTTTTCAAGAATTTGTGATTTTGGATTTAAGACGCATTTTTCAAGAAATTCATTTTTTTTAAACACTTAAAATTCTGGATCTAATAATTCAGAACGCCACAAATGAAGTCCAACACTTTAGAATCTCTGAAATCAGAATTTTGGAACTCAGAATCTTGAGATCTAGAATCTCGGAACCCTGAATCTTTTAATCTAGAATATCGGATTCTGAAATCTCGGTATCTAGAATCTTGGAATTCAAAATCTTAGTGTTTACAATCTTAGAATTTAAAACTTGGGGCTTAAAATGTAGTACATATTATGAGTTTTGGATCATAGAATTCAGGAATTCGAAACCCGGAACTCAGAATCTAGAATTTCGGATTCTAGAACTTTGGAAGTTAGATTTCTGAAATTTAGAATCCTATCTTGGAATCTAAAATCTCATATTCCGGAATGTAGCATCTAAAAACTTGGAATAAAAAATCTTGTAATCTAGAAACTTAGACCATAGAATCTTGGAATTCAGGGTCTTAGTATTTACCATCTTGGTGTTTAGAATCTTAGAATTTAAAACTTGGGGCTTAAAATGTAGTACATATTATGAGTTTTGGATCATAGAATTCAGGAATTCGAAACCCGGAACTCAGAATCTAGAATTTCGGATTCTAGAACTTTGGAAGTTAGATTTCTGAAATTTAGAATCCTATCTTGGAATCTAAAATCTCATATTCCGGAATGTAGCATCTAAAAACTTGGAATAAAAAATCTTGTAATCTAGAAACTTAGACCATAGAATCTTGGAGTTCAGGGTCTTAGTATTTACCATCTTGGTGTTTAGAATCTTAGAATTTAAAACTTGGAGCTTAAAATGTAGTACACATTATGAATTTTGGATCAACGGAATCAAGAATTCGAAACCCGGGACTCAGAATCTAGAATCTAGGATTTTTAACCTTCGAATTCAGATTTCTAGATTTCAGAATCCTGGCATCTAAAATCTTGGAATTTAAAGTCTCGGATTCTAGAACCTTGTAATCTAAAAACTTAGAATCTAGAATCCTGAAATCTAGAATCTCGGAGTTCAGGGTCTGAGTATTTACAATCTTAGAATTTAAAACTTGGAGCTTAAAATGTCGCATATATTATAAATTTTGGACCATAGATTCAAGAATTCGAAACCCGGAACTCAGAATCTAGAATCTAGGAACCTAGAACCTTCGAAGTTAGATTTCTGGAATTCAAAATCCTGGCATCCAAAATCTTGTAATCTAGAAACTTAGAATTTAGAATCCTGAAATCTAGAGTCTTGGAGTTCAGGGTCTGTGTATTTACAATCTTGGAATTTCAAACTAAAACTTAGAGCTTAAAATATAATTCAATTAATATTACAAAAATTATTGGATCAAAGTTTTCAAGAATTTGCGATTTTGGATTTAAGACGCGTTTTTCAAAAAGTTCAATTTTTTTAATAATTTAGAATCTGGGAATTTAGAATCTTGGAACTCAGAATGTTGAGAACTAGAATCTACAATCTTGGAATCTAGAATATCGGAATCTGAAATCTC